TGCAAATTCACCTACAATTGGATTTTGACATGTGTCATTAAGAAAATCAGGTTAAAAACATTCTAAGATGGTCATTATGTCATCCGTTTGTTCCATTATGTTATCAATGGCTAAACATTATGGCGACACTTTTTGCATAATCTACTTAGTTTATAATAAAATATCAATGTCTTGTTGAATACAAATATCCTTTATCCTATAAGTACTCATGCGACAGATAACACCTACGCTGAATTCCTGATGATGTTCATTCCTTATTTCCTTTTTTTATTCCCGCCTTGTTCTGTCTGGATCTATCTACAGAACGTAAGTATTAGTTTTGTTTTAATCATCAATCAGTGCTTTCATCACCTATACACTACTTGTTCAATAATATGAGAATCTCATTTCAAATACCATACACATTTTGTTAAGTTCATTTACATTATAAAAAAACAATTTAAACATCATGCTAGACATTACACATTCCATTAGAATTGGTTTTTGACATGTGTCATTAACAAAATCAGGTTAAAAACATTCTCAGATGAAGTTTCTAATTTCGTTTAAATAATATAAGACGGTTCATTCATTGGAAAACAAGGTAGATTTGGACATTATGTCATCAAGTTGTAACATCGTTGACTTAATGGCTAAAACATATGACGACAAATTCGGCATAATCTACTCAGTTTATAAAATAAATATATGTCTTGTTGAATACAAAATGTGATTTATCCAATAAGTACTCATGCGACAGACAAAACTTACGATTATTTCCTGATGATGTTCATTTATAATTATATTTTGTTTACTCCTGTCTTGATCTGGCTGGATATTACAACAGGGTCTAAGTATTAGTTTTGTTTTAATCATCAATCAGTATCCCCGTCACCTATACACTACTTGTTTTGATTCACATTAAAATCCTATTTCAATGACCATACATATTTAGCTGAAGTCATTTATCTTCTAAATATACAAATGATTGCATGCTAAACTAAAACAATTTTAACATCACGAGAGACTTTACAAATTCACTTACAATAAGATGTTGACATGTTTCATTAAGAAAATCAGGTTGAAACATTATAAGATGAAGTTTTTTCGTTTCTTTAAATTATATAAGACGGTTCATTTATTGGAAAACAGGATAGATTTGGACATTATGTCATCAAGGTGTTACATTATGTTCTTAATGGTTAAAAATTATGACGACAATTTCGGCATAATCTTCCCAGTTTATAATATAATATCTATGTCTTGTTGAATACAAAATGTGTTTTACCCAATAAGTTGTCATCCGACAAACAATACCTACGCTGAATTCCTGATGGTATTTATTTGTTTTCATTCATTTAATCTACTTGTTTAATGCATATTAGGATCTTATTTCAAGTATCATACACATGAAGCTTGTAACAGATATCTGTTAATAATACAAACTATTGCTTGCTAAACAAACTGAATTTAACATCACGATAGACTTCACAAATTGACCTAGAATAGCATTTTGACAGATGTCATTACGACAAACGTGTTAAAACATGAAGTTTGTTTTCTTCTGTTAGAATAACTTTCAAACAAGGTTTACACAACCTACACACTATTTGTTTATATTCATGTCGAAAGCTCATTTGGAGTAGTAAACACAGCTAGTTGATGTCATAAATCTTCTAAATATACATAGTTATTGCATGCTATACCATCCTAATTTTAACATAATAGTAGCCTTTAATATTCCATTAAACATAGAGTTTTGATATTATTCATTAAGATTGTCATTAATAGGTTTTAACAAAAAGTGTCTCTTTAATAAAAAAAATTGGCGGTATGGCATGTGGGAAACAATACATATTTGGACATTATATGAATAATTTGTCATAGTTTCTTCTCAGTAGATAAGAAAAATCAAACAAAGATCGACGATTACAAATACTCTAGGTCGTTTGGTGGGAAATGGGTAAAGAGGACGATTTTAATCTCGAAATTATGACGATGATTTTTGCAAAATCTTTTAGATGGCTGTAACGCAATGCTTGATCGATGATTACAAAACATCTAGGTCTAAGGTTTATTAAGAAAATAATAATAAATATCCACTGTATCACATACCTGTTGAATCTTGTTATAGTAATACAAGCAATTTTCAGACCATGAAATACAACGTTCTGTATTGCACATGTGCAATACGAAATGTTGTATTTACCTATAAGCCGGAACTACTTTTTATGAGAATCCCCTTGTCATGGCGAACTGAAAAATTCCCGGTATTACATACGTATCAGAAAGCACTCATTTAATGCGGAGACATATATATTCACTCGTGCGCTCCGCGCACTCTTGAATATATATTCGTCCACGCAATAAACTCGTGCTTTCTGATTCGTTAGAAAAACACAAGTGTGTGGTCTTGCATACATATTACATGTGTATCAAAGACAGGTTAAGAAATTAAGACATGAGTCATATGACTCTTCTAAGGATATATCGAAATAGTAACTGAAAGTTTAAAATGTTCCAAACCTCTCAATGGACAGTCATTGCATGCTGTTAAAAGAATTAAATTGATTACTTAGTTCTCTTTTCAAATGAGATTTAATGTTATATGTCAAATGTGATCGATAAATACGGTAATCTGTATTACCGCATCGTTTATTACTTTTTTTCGGGCAGCGATGTTATCAAAATTCCGATTTATTCGTAAAACATCAATATTAGGTTGATATGTCGGAAATATATACCTTTGAATTAGTATACAGTTTATCTGCTATTGTAATAAGATTAATTGATAAGTTAGTTGTTGTTTTTTTCGACCATAAACGCATAATAACGCACAATAGAGAAACACATATCACAATTGAGTTTTTATTTTCTTCTCTATCTACAAATGATATTAGTATTGAANTTTTTTTCGACCATAAACGCATAATAACGCACAATAGAGAAACACATATCACAATTGAGTTTTTATTTTCTTCTCTATCTACAAATGATATTAGTATTGAAATATTAGAGGTAGAAAAAGTAATATATCTGTAACATTATCTTTTTCCGTACAATATAACAAAATCAGCAATGAAAATATATCCGCTCTCAGTTGATAATAATTGTTCACACTGTCGGAGGATCACCGGAGAACTTTTGTTTTGATCAGCCAGAACTATTTCCATAGTATTCAGATTTTTTCGTAATACTCCAATATCAACTGAAATACGTTAATAATGTTCATGATATATAACACTGTTATGGGCTGATAACATAAAATTTCAAAGCATTTCTTATTCATTTAACCTAACATTATATGTTTTTTTTTCGATATCCAGAAGATAAAAGTGTTGCAATATTATAGATTAAGACGTTATACTATCTGTGAAATATATTCTCCTTACAAGAGAATTTCGTGGAAATTTTATGTTTAATATATTTCCATAATTCTCAGTGGACGTCGATTGCATACTATCTTCAGACACATTGTACATGAATACTACTGACCAACTGGTTGTTTGTTTACTATTTCTAGATAAACAAATATTTTTGGAAGGAAATTACATGTTATGTATATAATGTTGTTAAGGTTTAAAAGGGGTCTATCTTTATCTAAGTATAAGGAATAGGTGAAAAAGGTAGAACTTCCCTATCTTTAATACTTACATGTACAATGTTATTTTTAGTCAGAGCATTCGACCTGATCCTAGTATGTCGAGACTTTACAGTCGTCATCAATACCTGTTTTCCACCAGGTTGTTTACCGTGATTAAATGTGTGTTCTCTGTGTCTTAGGTGTCAGAAATGCTTAGTTTAAGGTTACTAGTTACAGACATGCTTTGGTTTAGGTCACTAGTGTTAGACATGCTTGGCTTATTCACTAGTGACAGACATGATTTGTCTTAGGTCAGTAGTGACAGTCATGCTTTCTCTTAGTCACTAGTGCGGACATCTTTTTCTCTTACCCTTCACATGTGTGTCTCCCGTTTTAGCCGGTAAAGATCGGCGTGTCATCCCCTAGGGGTAGATAGCCTCATGCCGATTAGCACGTGTTCAATTGTGACGTCATTAAAATGTGTCATCGGTAATTGTGAAGTCATCAAAAGTGAATGGCGATATGCATACCCCACATGTGTTTTTGTTTACAAACATGGCAGGCTACAGTCGGTGGAGCTGTGACTTAAATAATAGGATGGGAACACAATTATCATCCCCTATCTTGAGGGTGCAACAGAGAAATCTCCAAACCTCCGGGTGACTCTTTTGGTTGTCTAACCGTCGGCAGAGCCTCGGGTTAGACAATAAAAAAGCATCACCCCTCGGGTATGAGATTCCTCTATGACACCCTCAAGGTAGGAGGAGATTCTATTATTCTCCCACCCTTCATAGGCGTGTCTCCCGTTTTAGCCGGGAAATTGGTCCCTAGGGGGAGATAGCCTTGTGCCGATTAGCACGTGTTCAATTGTGCCTCATTAAAATGCGTCATCGGTAATTGTGACGTCATCAAAAATGAATGGCCATATGCATACCCCACATGTGTTTTTGTTTACAAACATGGCAGATTACTGTCGGTGGAATTGTGCCTGAAATAATAGGACTGGAGAAAAATAATCATCCCCTACCTTGAAGCCTCGGGTTAGACAACCAAATAATCACCCCGAGGGTTGGAGATTTCTCTGTTACACCCTCAAGGTAGGGGAAGATTCTATAAGTCTTATGCCACTTGTGACAGACATGCCTTGTTCTCTATGTCTTTGGTCATTAGTGACAGACATGCTTTGTCTCAGGTCACCGGTGTCATACATGCTTTGTTCTAGGTCACTAGTGACAGACATGCTTTGGTAGATTTAACAGGAATCATTATGACTAGTGCTATGTGTGGTTTAGGAAACGCTAAACCGTTAGAGAGTATGTTTGGTCTCCAGTTCGTTGTACGTTGGTTTGCCTTTTCATAACGACCAACATTTTGCTCTCTGTCCTTGTGTTATGACGATATGGTACCTTTTACTTTATCTATGGTTTTGTACTTTCAGAACCAAGAGACTTTGACATATACATGGAGATGTTTAAAGGAGACGTTGAAATTTATCGACATGTACGCGTTGTTTTTACCGGCAGAGAGGGCGCTGGTAAAACAACGACGTGTCAACGTTTACAAATGAAAGATGTCGACCTCAACATTCGCGAACCAACTGTGGGAGCTGTTTTACACCCTAATTGGTTCTGCGTTGACGAGAAATCTAAGGAATGGATACAAAACGATGATAAATCAGCTAGCGAAATATTGGAAATCCGTCTGGGCACAACGATGAAGAAAGCACAAGCAAACCAAAAAGCTGGTTTGCAGAGAGGTATTTCACTGTACATTTCGGAGATGTTTTTCATCCATGATTCTGATTACACGGACATCAGTAATTGTACTATACATTCTTAGAGATGTCCTTTCTCTGGATCACATAGTGTGAAAATAGCAACGAATATTATTATCTTTTGCATGTAAAGGTAACTGATACCACATATTGGAAATGTTACATTATATCTGGGAAGTAAATAATACAAATTATTTATATAATATTTGATATAGCGTTCTATCTAGCAAGCCTAAGCTACTCTAACGATCTTTACAGTACATAGATGTACGATTTATACAATCGATACAATTAACATATATATTTATCAATACAATTTTGCAGGAGCTGCCTTATCAGGCGCTTACTACTAGTCCTATGTAACCTGATTAATATCTCCCTGTGCGTAAGCCTGCGCTCGAGATGAATTGTATCTAAATATAAATTGTATGTATTGTATCAAAATGAATGAGATATATTGAAAGCCTTGTTTTTAAATTTCGTTGTGCACTACATTAGGATTCCGAGAGGGCGCAACAGATTTATCAATGACGTCATCACAAAAGTGTGACCTGTACGAAAAACATTATGAGGAATGCACTGCAGTTCGAAAAGCTTCACAGCATGTCAACATGGATGGGGTTCTTCTATCTCTGTGGGATATGGGTGGACACTCGTCGTTTCAATCTTCGCACAATGTGTTCATTTCGTCACATGGCGTATACCTGCTAGTCTTCAGACTGACAGATTTTCTCAAAGACAAACTGGAAACTGGTAAGTTTTTCTTATCTTTATCACGTACATTGATATATCCTATTCCTCTATTTGTATATATAATTATGGTCGCTTATCAGAAACATTCGAGTCAAACTTAAAAACATGTACAGAATAACGTTAGTATTAATTGCAAGTGGTCAATCAAAATTGATGATCTCTTTGATATGAAGTGATAATATACATTTCTGTATATAAGAATTAAGACTACTGTATTTATTAACTGTTCAAAATAATGTTGAAGTGGTGCAAGCTATCCACTTGAAGATAATAACGGTTTATAGCGGAGTTTCATTATCAATTATTAATTGTTTTATTAAGATGAAATTGAAATTTATATATTCGCTATTTGACACAAATGCATACATTGATGATAGTCAATTCTTCAACGTCATCTTCTTAAATCTTAGAAAAAATGTTTTGAATTCGAAACTGGGTCCTCAATAATTGGGACCTGTTGCCTATTTTGCATTTACTGAATTAAATCTGATTTTGATGAAAACCACATATGTTTGTAAAGTAGTCGAATTCAGTAAAGTAGAATCGATATTTCCGGATAGGCTTAACAAGTCAAATGTGAAAGCGACACTAAGCGGCGTTACGTCTAAACCAAAAGGAAAGAACTGACATTTACTTTTTTCGAATGCAAACGTTTTTATGAAGGGTCTCAAAAAATACAAGGATATGTTTATTGCGACAATCGATAAAGATTTAAAAAAAACACACCTATAAATGCAGATATGGATGTTATTTTATGATAAAAGAATCCTAACTTTACTTGTTATCGCGATAGAACACTAGAATGAACTCTAAGATTTAAACTTATTGTAGCCATTGCCCAAGGAATCACTTTTTGTCGATGATTAGAATCGGTGATTACACAATCAACGTAAAAGATTAGATACCAAAATGACTTCGCGGCCACAAGCAAGCAAGCTTACCACGAAATGTATCACGATAAGAAACGTTGTAGGGTTGAAAATTACGTCGAAAAAGGATAAACGTCGAATGTCCGTCCAGAAAAAGAAAAGGTAAACAAATTCACTACAACATTTTTCTTGTTCCATTCCAAGTGGTTTAGAAAAGAAAAAGAAAAAAAAAAGAAGTTAAATCGACCAGTGGGCTACCTCATAGTAATAATACTTAAATCGAAAAACATTAGTAATATTGTCAAATTAGCAGACTTTCAGAGGTAACCGTAATCCATCATCTGTCCGTAGTTTGACATATAAATTAAGACTGAAATTTAAAAAATTACTGTCATACTTACAAACTGACCTATTTGAACTTTAACGTGGTGGTGGTGACGCATCAACATTTGAAGTCGCAGGAATGATGGGTAAAATCTACGAAAATGACACAAAGAATTTTTCATAAATATTTTTCTTCCGATGATAATCGTATTTTAAATCAACATTAAATGTTTCTGAGTCCAGACAGACTAAAGAAATGGATTCGAATGATCGGCACATTTTCGTCAGTTGAATTGAATGCGCCGAAGCTAAAGGAACATGAACCTCCACTGATATTTGTCGGAACCTTCCTTGATGAATTAAGGAAAATCTCCACGGTGAGTGATAAAACCTTTCAGTGGTCGTATTACACATTTTCTCTTATTTCAACGTATATGTATAGTCGCGGAAAAGTCTGGTTATTGGCTTTCCATGATTTTTTATGTATCACTACTCATAAAAGAAAAAATGGATAATGCATTTTTGTCGAAATCAACAATAATTTTCCAGAAAACCAACCCGTGTTCAACGCCCTTTTTCAGCAACGCATTGCTTTTCACAACGCGTGCCGATTTATAAATAGTTACAGACAGAAGCTGTTTAATTGTATTTGGCATCCTTACCTGTCAAACCTCTGTGACAGTAACAAAATGTGAAATTCAATCCGGTGATTCAGGATGGAATATTAATTGAGACTACATATCGATATAATGACAATCCCAGTTACATCAAAGTATAACAATGTTTTCTTTTTTTCATTTCATTTTGGTAACTAACATCTCTATACATTTACTTAGACTTATCGTCAAAAATGTAATATGCACCTTTTTCTATAGCAATATCTCAATTATTCTTTTTGTGCCCTGACGGAAGCACGCAGAGGATTTCATTATTAATTGTTTTCGGAGAAAACCCGCATGGTCGGGCAGGTGACTGGGATTGAATCCGGCCATCTTGGTATATATCCACTGCGCCACCCGAACCTATATACGTTACGCACAAGAACAAATATTTACTTCAGCTATGACAGGAAGAAAATTGCGTCATTGATGCAAAAAATATATTGTGAATACATTTTTTTCCAATCATCTATGATACAAAAATTCTACATTACGCGAGAATGGGGCAAGTTCGGCCACCCCTGATATTTTTTGTTTTTGAGCTCATATTTACAAATTTAAGGATCTTAGAAGTTTAGTTGGGTGGGCATTCACACGCGAAAATGGCGAGGAAAACCTTAACGCAAAATTACTATATAGGAGAAAATGACATTTTAGAGGGTATAGAAAGAAAATCATGATCTCGCTTCTAGTTATGACAATTTTCTGTAAACGGAATTGATACTTTTTACGATCAAACGTGTAACACACTGACAGCTTCAAATGACATACATAAAAGCCAAGCCAAGCACTAACTACCATATTGCTGTACGATACGAGTTTAATGAAATATCAATTTGGGCCCGGACATGTTTGGTCAATGATACCGTAACAAGTTCGGCCCATGTAACACATAAAAAGTCGTAAAATTGACGGTAATATCTGACGTTGCAAGCTTTATGACGTCATAATTAAGCTGATTCCAATGCGGGCCGAACTTACCCGAATGCCTGTCCGAATAATGTTCATAAACGTACGTGCTAACATACTTCCCAGAGCGGGCTTTAATAACAAAAAAATGTGTTTCACCAGTACGAGGTCCATCAGTTAATTATCACTACTAAGTTTAAGAAGTGTGTAACACATGAATGCCCTTTGCCACAGAAATTGTATCTCGTTGCTTTACAGTTTTCTATAAAACGTAACGGTGATCTTGACCTAGAATAAAAAAAAAATGGCGGTATTGGCGTCTTTATTGTTTTTCTGATGGATCCAAAAATTAACAACACTTTGTCAGGACTATGAGTCGTTCATTCCTCAAAGATTTCAGTTAAATCGGTCCATTAGAACTTAACATTAAGTTTGAAATAGTTGTTTTGTTTTCAAAATGTCGGAATTTGCGGCCATATTGGATTTTTAAGCGACCCACAAAAATTACAACACTTGGTAAGGATCATGAGTCGTTAATTCCTACAGGGTTTCAGTTAAATCGGCCCATTAGAACTTGACGGTAAGCTTGAAATAGTTTTGTTTTTCAAAATGGCGGCATTGGCGGCCATATTAGATTTTTGAGCGACCCGCAAAATTAACAAAACTTGGTCAGGGAGATGTCAGTAACATTCGCAGGAAACATATATGAAATCCTTTCGACAGTATTTCAGCTTAAGTTGAAAATGTTTAATGGTTAACGCACGATCCACGACGGACGACGTACGACGACGGACGAACGAAGACGGATAGCAATATGTCACTAGAGCTAAACCTCAGGTGACCTACAAATGGGCCGAACTTTCCCCGGTCTCCCCTAATTGTTATGTCGGTCTTACATGTAAGTCTAAATAGAGCTTATGTTTTATTGTTATTCCTCGACTTTGATCTCATTCTGAAAGCAGTATTATCTCATTCTGAATCAGAGATCAACAAAAGCTACGCTCTTTTAAGGCTTGCCTTTTCATATTTAATGACATAACTGCTTAAGCAATATTTTATATGATGATTGATCCTTGCTATGCAACTTCATGCTTTAATATCATGTACCAATGTAATTGTGATGTATGACACCCAGATAAACAGTTTTGACTTGACTTTGCTCGGTGTAGACATGTATATATTGTATTTGCTATGACAGTAAATACAATTCATTTAAGTATGATTTTAAATAATTTACTATTATGAGAAAAATAGATATCAGCCAAACAAGAAATATTTCTTCATCTCTGTACTTTCTTTAAAATATTGTTATATTTATGTATTTAAATATTTTTAACGAAATTGGATTTTAGCATAGTTTATATCATTGATAACTCATGAAAAGTGAAACAGTTTAAATATCATGTCATGTTTAAAATATTATCTTTTAATTATCATACCAGGACTATGACGGACAGGTACAAGCTATACAGTCAAGCATTTCCAAATTTCCCGAACTTTCATCACACAAGTTTGTCAGGTTCTGTACACTCGATAACAGCCAAGGTACGGAACCAGCCCAGCTGCCATTGCTTCATGATCCCAGGACAGAAGTCCAGAATCCGCTTCCGCCATCAACTTCCCGCAATGATGATGCAACTCTGAAGCAATTGCGAGGAATTATCATAGAATTAGCCGAACACCAGGATCAATGGGGCAGAAAACTTCCTACCAGATGGTTAAAGCTCGAGATGGATTTACTAAAAGCAAGAGAAAGGGGGACTAAGATACTGACATTGGCGAAGGTGATTGAAATGAACGAAACGTCCATAGCCCCACTGGCGGATGTTGATGAGATCGTTCTAGCCCTAGAGTGAGTATTATATACACTTGTGTTACATTGTAAAATACTTAATATTTTTTTAAATATGGTAAAAAGTGTACTTTTGAATGATTAAAGTGCGTTTTCATGGAAGCATTGATCATTATTCACTGTTTAAAAAATAAATATTTCGTTTCTTTTTCACGGACACATTGTTAGTATGTTTTCGTGAGAGCTTCCTTCACTAAAATTATATAGAGAAAAAAACTCCGATGATCATTTTATATTGCTCTTTACTGAAACTGCTCAGTTGTGTGATTTTGGTGACACGAGTGATAACATTCCTGTTTTAATGAGTCAGTCAAGATTTATTTACTGTATGATCTTGCTTTATATTGAATTTATGATTATTTCTTCACGACTCAGGTAACCATTAAAGACAAGGGGCCTGTTGTGTTTATAATATTTCAAATCCGAAATAGTTAAAACTTGGTGAGAATTATTATAATGGGACAGAACCTTAGATAGTGTAGTAAATAACAACTTAAGCATTCTCTGCGGCCAGAGGGGCATAGTAAAAAGCTAGAAAAATGGTTACAATTCGGAAAATCCTCTCTTTCAGACCAAGTTACTCTAGTATCAAATACTGTTCTTGGGAAACTTATTACAATTGAAAATGTCTTCATGCTCATAGATACTGGACATAAAAACTCTGATGATTGTCCATATATGACCATATACGTTTGTATCAGCAAAGATGCCGGTACTGAAAATAAACACACTTGTAAATGTTCGAGATCAACCACAATTTATACAATAGCTGGGCATGAATTCATGTACTCAACTGGTGTCCAGCCCCGCCCTTGTGAACTAAATCTAGGGAAATAACAACTAAGTGGTTAAGATTACCACACGATCGCCATTTTTGTGTGTTTCGCATTAAGACTCAAACACACAAGATTTCATGTTATACCTGGAGATTCGTTATTAGATAAATCTTTAAGTTCTTCAGGGTGACAACAAGCGAACACTACCATATAATGACGCATTCACTTAAATTTCAATGTACGTTTTTATTATTACAGTTATTTGATAATAATGTAATTTAAATAACAATCAAAGCATAAACCAAACGGTGGCCGAGTAGAATTCTTTGATATAGTATTCCAGTGCATCCGATCCGTTAATAGGACGCTCGTCCGTACAAAACTGAACCTTCCTCTTAAAGCTGTACTAAAAGTTGCTTAATCCTGGTATTACTTCTGTCTAGGTACCTTCATTGCACGAGGTCTGTGATATATTTTCGGGAATTTGATTACGTCATCAACGACCCACAGTGGCTTGCCGATTTTTTCTGCCTCCTGATTACCGACGATCAGTTTCTCCCAAAAGGTGATATCGTGCTGTCTCGAGACTTAGAGCTGTATAAGGCAAAAGGCGAGTTGACTCTGAAGCTGATAGATGACCTCCTCAGGCTAGAAACAGGTAAGGCTTTCATGCCCCATAAGCAAATTCTCCTGGCTCTGATGGAAAAATTTGGACTGATAGTACGGATATTGATTTCGGAGACTAATACAACAATTGCACAATTCAGTGAGACGTATTCCATTCCCAGTAAACTTATGGAGCTACAAAACATCGATGATGTTATCAAAGACGTCAATGACCTCAAGTTGAAGAATCTTGCTGTCTCAAAAACTTTATGTCTCATATTCCGTGATATCTTTGTACCTGAGGAGCTGTTTCACAGAGTATTTGCCACAATCATGAAGACTTACAGAGCAGCATCACTATCAGAAAGACACGTAGAAGACAAACTCGAGAGAAACCCGCCAACGACAAAACATACGACATGTCTTTACAGGGGATTTGGCTGTTTCGAGGTAAACGATCTCTGCAGGATGATCGTGTCGATGCACTGGGAGCGGTCTACAATTGCTGTGACATTGTTCAGTCCTTCAGAACTCAAACTTCCTCCAAACTCTGGGCAACTTGTTAGATCCACTCTGGAGCGGATCTTACAGGAGACTCTGCAGATGAGTAGCCAGCAACACTTGCAGTACACAAACAATCTGCACTGTAACTTCCATCTTAGTCCGTATGACACTCCTGTAGAGCTATTCAGCGTCATTCACGCAGAGGGAGGCATGTCCTGTAAAGGTGAGGAATGTCGAGGAAAACACCGACTGGAGAAATCGGACCTGTTGTTTTGGGGCATAACAAAGGTAAAACTTGTTTTATGTAGCGAAGTATTACTTCAATAAAATCCAGCAATATATAAAAAAAAATCCCCAAAAATATGTAAGACATAGCATCATTATATCATATATAAAAAGAGAAATCAAACTTTCAACTTTTATGTTACGCAGATATGTAATATGCTTGTGGACGCCTTAAATAATGTTAACGTAATACATTCGTTGATGTCTTATGACTGCAGTAGTAACAGGAATAGTGTTGCATGCTAGTGACTATTTGATACATTTTGTCTTACAGGTTACCGTACATTTACATGGATTAGGATCCAGTGACGGTAAGAATCTGTTCATGTTTTTTAAAAGTAATACAAAGCAATGAAATGATTTTCCCTATAAACACTGATCTTTTGTAAACCGAATTTACTAGGCAACTAATGACGCATTGAAGACATTTTCAATTCTTGTATAGCTGATGATAGATGGGATTGTATATGTCATTCCGAAAAACACATTTAAAACAAATTAATAATAGGGTCTTTTTGTACCAGAGGCAACCTGTCTTGATAGAAGGCCGACGCCCCAAGAGCTTGGTCGTCTGTCGTACAGGATCAAGGAATCCGAATGTGAGCAACTGTTCATCGAGCTTGGCCTGTCCCTACCAGAGATCTCGAACATAGAGCACCAGGCAAGGAGTCTGGCAGTTGTCACTCAGATAACCAGGATGTTTCTGAAGTGGACATACGCCTACCCGAATCAAACGTTTCGTAACATCGAAATGGCCATGTCAAAAGTCGACATTGCTACGGACACTCTCGGCGAGGCCGTAGAGACTGGTTGGGAATGTGTCATTCTAGGTAATAATGAATCAAAATTGTAGACGAATGGACTTGTGGGAATTGTTTCACTCAATAGTATATAAAATGCAGGTAATTAGACTGAAAGGAAATATGTCTTTCTATGTAAATACTAAGAACAGTGTACCACTCTAGGTAAAATACAAAGAATGGTAAAGATATAAAGATAAAAGGATTAGATGACTAAATGAAAATCTGTACAATAGGTTTGTTTTGTGCACAAACAGTATCTGTTTGGAAGCTTATATGGCGAGCTTTCCTAAACATGTTTTTCTTTATCAAGAAAATGAAATACAAATGAACGTTGTTGTGATATTCATATAGAAAAATATAATTCACAAAGCACGTTGTGTCGAGTTAGATAACCCAGCGGTCAAGTTCTCGATTGTTTTATAAGACATACTATATTTTACGTGAGTATAGTAGCACTATACTAATTACAGTTTGTGAAAGGATGGTCCCCATGTTTAAACTTCTAGACTCATTTGATGTATATCCCAAGGAAACTTAAAAGTTAGTTGTATATTATTGCAGATGGCATGGAATCTAACGAGGAGGGACTCGACAGACCACTGATCGTCAGTGAAATAGGGGGCGTTGTAGACAACATAGGCAAGGATTACTTCAACCTGTTTCTGGAGCTTGGGCTCTCCGTCCCTGACATAGAGAAGTGCGAAGTGGATCAGCCCAGTGTTAAACGTAGATTGGAGACGCTGATCAAGCTTTGGATCAACACTTTCCGAGACCAGGCAACCGCTATCAGGATTGTGAAGGCAATGAAACTGTGCAGAATGGCTTGGTACCCAACCGCCATGGCATACTGTGTTGTGGAGGAGGAAAAGACATGGGAATGGTGGCGATGTGCGATTTTGTAACAAACGCACCCAAGTATGTGATAGAATCTTATCGCCTTAGTGTTTACCTGTGTGTTTGAACAAATGTCTAAAATACTGACTCTTGTATAAGAAACTCAACACATTTATTGATACGTATGTGTATAGGCCTATCTTTTATACCGATGCCTGTGAAAGAAACTCAATACATTTACTTATACGTGACTGTATATGAATGTGTATATAGATTTTAAAGAGGACAGGAAACGTAAAAAAAGAATGGAAAACAAAAACAAAAATAGAAAAACTTTCACTTTCATGCAGGCACAGCGGATATGGTAAGAAATTAGAAAAACTTTCCTTTTTATTAGACAGGTATTCAAACATAATGAATATACTCAAATAAAATAAAATGCAATAAATCTCCTTCTCCCCGTCACATTCAGGCAGCTCGAAGGAGGTTAGCACGATCATTCAGAACTCATTTTCCTGTATCAATTTTCTTCTCCATTATGGGCGAACCCTATTATTTGACTTAAAACGCCTTTAATAAATTTATAAATAAAACGCTCTACACATTTATTTTGCGTATCGAGCACAATTATTCCTGATCACATTTCAGTGGTTTGTGTAGGGAATTGTTTTCCTTGTTTTGTATCGTTCTATTAGACAAAATACAGAGCATGTGACTGAATGTTATGCTTCTCACAAAGTAAGGCATAGATAAAAACAGATCCAGATGTTCTTACTGAAACAGATGGTATCTATGGTAACTATATTTGCTGGTTAGAAGCGTAGATTGTCGCCCATTAGTTTCCCAATGTTCTCGCCTGATATAAAATTATCAAATGCCTAAAGCATCGAGATACATTGTAATAATTGTGTCGTCATAATACAAAATATAACAGTAGTTATCATATACACATGTACCTTCGTTTCTGTTTATGTAACGATTGACAGGTATAATATTTTGTTAAAAGATAATGTTGTAAAATACCTTATTCAGACGGTCAAAAAATTTGCATGCTTACAGATAGAAGCACTGTAAATATATAATGAAATCAAAGTTGTATGGTAAATTTGCTTACAATTAATATGACTTTTATAAACAGACAACAGAAAACAAGAACATACGTACTTGATGCTTAACTCAATCATGTTTATTGACACCATTTTACCTCAAACAGAATCTTCTTGAGAACTTTACTGCTTGGAGACACGATGTCTGATCACCAGCTATCGGAAGGATCCTGTTTTGAATATGCTCCCCCTATAATGGTCCCTAATGAACCTTGAAGGTCAAAAAATAAAGACGTATTAAAAAATTCAAATAACACTCCTGTGAAGAACCGCAAGGTTTAGAGCCATGGTACTTAGATACATTATGTAGACCAGCAAAGAATACATTCTATTTTATCATATTTTATTTCAGTCAAAAGTCTTCTTTAAGCGCTGGCCAAGTGCAAAAGTGCAAAATGGGTAAAAAACATTACAAATGTTTCCATACGTAATAAAACACCTTTTGTTTTGTTAAAACAGTAGTTAAAACAAATTTGGATTTCCAACATTTTTGCCCTAACATCACCGATGAGTCCTAGAAGGACGAAACAGCTGTATACGATACAGTTAAATTTATTTTTAGCATACTGTATATTTTATTCAATTTTAAATGTACAACCATCTGTGTGTGGCTGTGTTCGCGTTACGTTCGCTTTTCGTCAATTGGCCAAAATAATTACCTAACAGGTAATGCGTTTTAGTATAAGCTTTTCAGGAAAGGAACTGTACAGCTGTATGGTGTTGTGTAATTCATTTCTGGCATATTATATCTGACACCAAATTATAAAGGTGCAAACATGTGTGTATTACGTTAATCCTTTATTAAGGCCCAACGGTATCTACTCTTGTTTAAGATGAGATATTGACAGATTGGTTTTTTTCAGGTGAATTATGTTGGCATTTCTGCAAGGTCACATAGGTCAAAATATTTAAATTTTAAACAGTATTAGATATACCTAAAATAACGAAACCTTGGTATGGAAGTCTAGCAGTGCATTTCATCTATTTTGTATTTTGTTGTTTCCCATTTAAGCGTGTGCGGGAAGGGAATATAAAACAGGAGATACCGCGTATGGGACCATAAAAAAGGTCAATATAATTAGGTTAACTTCAAAGTCGTCTACGATATGTTGCTGATAACGGTCTAGTTACGCGCTTCAGGCCAGGCTTCAGGACTCTTGTTATAATATCTTGAAAATGAAATATAAATTATCAGGTTTGCATATACTGCAATTTTGAGATGTAGCTGTAATGTTCGTTCTTATATTACAATAGGATGTCTTACAAATATTGTATATTTATGAATATCTTGATGTAATTAACTGCATACTAGTCTGTTTCAGTGTTAAAATACAATGAATGAAAGCCAGAACATGACGATATAGTCAGAATTGTTAGATGTTGCAGTGAGAAGTTGTACATTTTATGCCTATTTTTATTACTTAAGCAAAATACAAAGGTGTTATGTATTGTCACATAAATAAAGTGGATAATATTGGCTTTGGTACAGTTATAAAACACGTACTGTTGTGGAAAGGGAAATCAACAACCGAGTTGTAGTCGTACCATGCTTTTGAAAGGATATCGTGACTAACTTAGATAGAACATTTTGTATTGTTGGATTAATAATATCAATACTATGACGAGTGTTTCACTTTCCTATTCATTAGTATATATGCTGAATTAACATGAACAATATAATTTAGCATGACAGTTAAACAAGCAATGCTGGTTATTGGGTTGACATAAATGAACATTTAATCATGATTAGAAACGTCATTTTTTTGCATGAGTTTATCTTTCTTTTCTCATGCTTGACAAAACGAATTGATGAATAAAGACGTTTCCAATGAAATTGTGTTGTATTTTACAGCTTCTATGAAAGATAGTTGCTATTGGTGAAATTAAAGTGCTCGACTTAAAAGGATATTAACTATGATAAATTATCACAAAAAGTCAAAAAAGTTGCTCTAAATTAGTATTTTAAAGAAGAAACCAACGGATTTGCAGTCTATCTTCATCCCCAGAGAAATAGACTAATTCTTCAACATCAGAAGATTATCTTAACCTGTTTCAAACACCCGTAATGTTTCATTTTCTTGTATCGTATGCTAAAACAAAAATATGGTTGCTTGTTTTTTAATTTTTTATATGAGTGTTTTACAAACTAACGAATTTGCTTTATATTGTAAATTTGAAAGGAAGACGGAAATTTGTCAATTTCGTTTTGGTGTGAATATGTAACCAACAACTGAAATGATTTATAAAATGTTTATGTAACTCTGTAAACCACCTGTTTGTAATATTGTATATGTGTGTGATGACTTTTTAACAATAAAATGTTATATTGACACTTTTCTTTCATAGTCATTATCAGAGGGGAAGACAAATTACAACCATTTCAAATACCCCTAGTCTTGTACTACTAGCTTCTTACAATACTTTTGTATTACACATATGTATTGACCAAATCACATAACATCTAGAATACAGATTTAACACTGGATAGAAAAATCCACTGATAAAAGCTGTAAAACATTATTAAAATGCAACTTTACAAAAATTGTTACAGTAGCAATGGTATCATAATTGATACGCAGCCTCATAGACTGTTAGGTTGACGAAACCAGGACGAAAATGTTGAGGTTTGGTTCTAGTAGTTAGAAGCTCAAATTAGCAAATACAAAACACACAACAAAACACTGTAAACAACACTTAATTTTCAAATTCTTCTTTTTTTTAATTTGTTTTTTTGTCGTCAGAATTTCCGTAACAGTACCTTATAATTTTAGCATCTACAATGTAAGATGCGTTTGAAACAGCTCGCTCACTCGTTTTAATTATTTTAACAATTTATACTTTGCCTTTATTTACCTTATTAAGTCCCCCAAACGAAGTGGGGAACTTATCGTTTTGGCTCCGTTTCATCATTTTCTCGAAAACTACCGAAAGGAATTGAACGAATGTTTACATGTGCGTTCGTGTATGAGAGGCAGTGCGCATTCTTAAAACAAAATGGCCGCCAAGGTGAGAAATAGGTCAAAATTTGAATGTTGCCCGATTTTCATGAAAATTAATATACAACTGTAACGTCCATTTCCGCTTTCAACAAAATGACTGCCATTTCCTGGCCTATGATTGGTCCAAATTTCCGGTTTCAACAATCATTTCGAAGTAAAGGGGTCCTTTGGGGGACTTCTGTAATGGTCCCCATTACAATTAGTACATGTTGAAATAGATATTGGATAATTTTAAAATCAACAACACAAACAATAGGAACAACACCTATAGTATATGGTAATAAAGCAAAACCAAAAAAAAAAGATGTAATTGTGAAGTGAACGTTTAAACATTGAATTATATTGAATGTACTGTTTTAGCAGAAAGAAAAGGAAAGAGAAAAAGAAATATGATTCAATAACGAATTAGAAAGGAATGAGATGGTGTTTTAAAAAAAAACGATATAGCACACGTACAATAAATATGCAAATGAGTCTTGTCACCGTGGGTTACATTTTTACAATTAATGACATGGACTCTTATTGCAGTTATTACTGTAAGTAAAGTAATAGCATTTGAGTTGTGCAGTGGCAGTTGAAGATGATGTTGCAACACGATGTGGCTGTTGATTTATGTAGAGGCACAGGATCCAGAGTTCATGGTCGACCACACCCCATGAGGCTGAGGAATTTCTGGCCTTCACTAACCTGAATTGATCACCATAGAGCTTCGATCCCAAACCGGCCGTGCAACGTTATTGACTCCTGCATTCACGGGGCCATCTTGCCGAACACAGAGTCGGCCACCCGTGACAACTTCTCCTCGGACACCCATTCGCAGCATCCACTTCGCCCCTCTGTTAAGTACCATGCACCTTCACCGGAACTGAAAATTTAACTCAAGGCGGAATATTGAAATTAAATTTAAGAACAATTCAAATAGATTTATGTTCGCTAAAAGCTATTCAAGCATTTGAGTCAGAGCACAATACTAAATTGATTTTAAAAGCAATATAAGTCCATTTATGTCTGCTCAAAGCTAATCAAAATGACAGGTAAGCACTTAATTCATGATTAACAAATCACAAACACATAAACAATTCCTTGCAAAAGCATGTCATTGTAGAAATATTAATATCAAACATCATTGAATGTGTATGAAATTAACAGTGTTGTTAAATAGTCTGTAACAATTCTAAATGTCTCGTAGCTAGATATATAATCTGGCTTAATGCCAAGGATGACTTGTAAAACCTGGGACCTATCTCCCTAACAATAGCTGGAGGTATTATAATTACCATCGACACCTTTTTGTACGATGGCCGACAAGAGCCTGGCAAAAAGATATGAATTTTCATATCTTTTTGTACCACGGTACACTTGTATATGATACACAAAGATATGAAAATTCGAATCTTTGTGTACCATGTAAAAGTGTGCCATGGTACATAAAGATTATAAACAACTTTACAAAACATTTCTTTACTTTCACATGTATATGTACCAACAGTCGATATCAGCCGGCAAAATGATTTGAATTTTCATATCTTTCTGTACCTTGGTACACTTTTGCCCGGTACAAAAATATATGAAAGCTTCTCTCCTTTTTGTACCTCGTTACACTTTTTTCTTTTCTTTTTGTACCACCTAAGGTACAAATCGATATGAAAAAAGGTGTACCACCAGAGCATCGGAATGTTGTTGTTGGACACTATGACCAGAACTGAACCAGAGTAGTGAAGCCCTAATTACAACGTCGAAACAAATCGTGAGGTTCATTAATCACTTCTGATGAAAAACAGAGTTAGTTGCAATTGTGTAAGTATTGGGGCCTTGACAGGGTCTCCAAAAGGGATAAAGGACATCTGTATATTTTTGTCATTTCCCTTGTTTTGATAGATGTCCAGATTATAAAAGATTCGTACAACTACCTCATCGTATTTCCCACTTTTTTATAAAAAGGTAGCCTATTTATCCTTCGATGTAATTAAATTCATTGTCCCCTTTTGTCCCGTTGTCCCCAACGGACCCCGTCGTCGTTTTCAACTGATTTGGAGTTTCTTTCATTTGAGAAGTTGAAGAAGATAGAATACATTAGAAATGTAAGTATTAGAAAAATAATCCATAATGACTTCCTTTTTAACGTAAAACTTTTATAAAATTCGTTAAAGGATATTGAATAGATGATTTCAATTTAAATGAGTAAGTAATAGTTTGGTAGCTCATTTAGTGTAATCAAATTAACAGACATTCCATGCGATAACATTTCATTGTATGTGATGACAGCGTTATCATGGTGTAATTTGTCATACTTGGTAACCTTTTCGTCTGATGTTTCACATGTTTCTGTACCATGGCTGTTTTCGGCCGTTATTTTGGTACAGAAAGATACAAAAGCAATTAACGGGTTGATTTTATTTCTGCTTTCATATCTTTGTGTACCATGGTACACTTTTACATGGTACACAAAGATTTGAATTTTCATATCTTTGTGTACCATGGTACACTTTTACATGGTACACAAAGATTTGAATTTTCATATCTTTGTGTGCTATATAAAATGTGCCATGGTACAAACAAATATGAACATTCCTGTATTTTTTTGTCAGGCTCTTGTCGGCCATCGTATTTTTGTGATAACCACAGGTACAATTTTCTAGATACATTCCAATGCAATCTTCCAACTGTCAGAGGGGAGGTAACTCCAACAAACAAAATGCACACATGTGTACAAAACCACATGTATTGCGCTAAAATATGGACGATCAACACGCAGCATCATAACTGCCGCACATGTACACATTCAAGTACTAAAGACCTATTGAAGGACTGATGCGAGCAAACAGCAAAAGAACAGCTACAAGCTGGAACCCTAAAATTACGCGTCATGTTAAAGTAAACAAATAGAAAAAAACACTCGTACAAAAGTGCAATAGGGGAGAAAACTCAAACCAAATGTATTATTCAGACACTAGGCCTACCACCAGTTTCCCAATCAGTGGCCACTTTCATGTGTTCTCACTCTTGATCGCTGCGCCATGCGGCATCGAGAACAAAACAAACTCATAAATATACGAAAATATTTGAATTTAGCAATCGGTTAGATAATAAGAATTCACAATGAAAACTATACAACCGATGACGATTAACTACAAAAATTCAAGATCCCGTGCCGTGACAAATGCCGGCATTGAGATCACCATTTTCCTCTGAGTTCGGAAATCCAATAGCATTTATCAGTATCTACACGAAGCATTACCAACTATTGGACATTTCATAAATATTGTAGTTCCATAACATATAAACATATCTAAAATATAGCGAACATTCATATTAAAAAACTTGTTAGTAAATCTGTCCTAACCAAATATGATAATAAATTCTGAGATAGAAAACGTTATAGGGGAGATAACCGTGCCAGTCATATGCTCAGCTAGGCTGAGGTACCAACCGATCAATAAAACTTAACAAGATGTGTCAGCTGATAATGCGTGCCAGCTCTTAATTTTTTTGCGAATACCTGTTACTGGTGGGGAGAGCAGATATTTGAGCCCTATTCAAAGGAGTAATGTTTCACGTTTCGTAAGTTGGTTGTCAGAAAGACTATTATGAAACTTTCCTTAATCACGTAATGATAACACCGTGTTTAATAAATTCCATATTTGTAATTGTTCATTTTTCCGAAGTGTCAACAAATTATTGAGTTAATCCGTGGTGTCATTCAATCAGAATCACTTATTAGTATCTAAATAATTCGTAACACACCGATATCAACTGCTATATTTTAGATACATATATTTGATATATATTCCCACTTTTATATGCTGATGCATTACAGAGCACCTATTTGTTGTTTTGAGTGTATAATGTCATTGTCACGTTCATGTAATCATATCTATGCTTTGTTAAACAACAAATGTACGTTATCCAATGTGTATTCATGAGACAAATGAAATCGACGATGATTTCCTTATAATGTTTATTCCTTTCTTCTTTTTTCTATTTTTCCGCCTTGGTCTGTCTAGATCTCAGAACAGGGAAAGATATCGAGTTTTTCTTATTGGCGTTATGTCAATCAGGTGTGATATGATCTTCTCATTGGCTGATAAATCAAGGATAGATCGACGATGTCATATATTCCTGATCGTTAAGGGTTAACTGAGTAATGAAGAAAATTATAGATTTCTAAGTTATGACAACATCATAAATTTGTAAATTTGAATATACTGTATGGTCTGTATCTGTTGGGGGGAATAAATACAATATCACCAAATATTTATACTCAACAGTTTACCTTATATGAATACCAGTAACGCAT